AATGCAACTTACTTTCATCTCTAACAACACCAGGGAGGGAAACACGAAATAAATATTCATCCTCAGATTCACCAATGTCCACTGATCCTATGGCTGGTCCAACTTTTCCCATTGCAGCACTTCCAGTAAGTGCCACTCCACTTTTAGTGGCAGTTATGATGTTATTCCACTCTTCATTGGTTGGAAGGGAAGAAAGAAATACCATAGCAGGAAGTTCTCCAAAGGAAGGGCCAGGATTGATTTCAACTGATGATGAAGAATCATCACTTTTGGTGGTTGAGGTAGCATTCATATTTGGAGGAGGTCCAGATGGAGCTAAACATTGAAGGGGGAGGACATCAAGAACAGGCTGTACAGGATCCGATGGCCCAGAGCCATTATTTTCACTAAAATGACTCCAGGGTGGGTAACAAGCTCTGAAGTCCACTGATTGGAAACAAGTTAGAATCCATGAGAATAGAAACACTATATACGAAAATCTTGTCCAGTACAAGCATTTTAGTCTACTATAAAAAGTAAAAAAATTTGAAATAAAACAAGCATGCTAACGCACATGAATATATTGCAGGCTTTTCTCTGGTAGGATCATACTTAACTAGTCAGTGCACAATGTTAACAAGCAGCATTGAACATCATTACATAGCCTATTAGAACAAAACTACCATAAAGCACTATCCTGAGGTTGAAAGAATTTAATTCCTTCTTTGTGTTAGTCACAAAGCCATGTAGATGCGATACTACTAAATTAAAGAAAACTTAGGCTGCTATTTATGCTTATAGAGTCTTTGAACAAGATACGTATTACTAATGTAAATGGGAGCCCCAAAGCACTTGGAATTTGTTATTCTGTTGGAAGAACTATATTTTCTTCAGCGTGATTTCATTCAAATCTCTGTTTCTCTAGGCTAGCAGATATCATGAATGTATTGCGTTTCACCACCTTAACAACACAACAGCATTCTTTAACTGAAATAACCAAGAAGCACTCCCAAAAAAATAAAAAAAAATAAAAACTCTTGATAGCAGCCAGGATCATTACTTTTTTCCTATTTGAGCCTCAAGTCTTGCTTCTTTCTATGAATTGAATCATAGCAACTAACCCTGACAGCAACCAGTTACCATAAATATTGAATCATACAGCACTAAAATGGCTACAAACTAATTTCGATTAGAAAATACTAAATTCATTATGACTATACTTCTCTGGTACATTGCAGAATGAAAGAAGAATATGAAGAAAACCAGATGCAGCACAAGGCACTAAGTGTGTGTGCGTGTGTGTGTGTGAGAGAGAGAGAGAGAGAGAGAGAGAAGCATCACTGCCCTAAAACTCTCCTTCCCTCTCTCTAATGGCTCATCCTTGTTGAAAATGTAAAAAGTAATGACTAACTAAAATAGAAACATTGAATTTACTGGTAGAAAAGGGAAAGGCAAAGAAGTCAAACAGAGAACTCCTTGTCCCACACTTTCTCAGCAGAACCAGAACAAAATGTCTATCATAGGCAAATATCAACACTGACGAAGGAAACAGTCTCAATCTTCCTATGCATTTTCGTCTAAAATGTTTTTCTGTTCGTTTCCTATTTTGATTTTCCTTCTGCTCACCATGGCTGCTGCCACTTTATGTATAACCATGTTTTCAGACTGAAAATGTATAAATTGCTATAGTCTTCAATCAGAAGACATTTCTGTGTGAATTAAGAAAAGCATTGCATAAGCAAGCTTAAGAAAGAAGAGACGTGTATATACATGTAATGAAAGCTGCAAACAAGTTAATCTATGTAAAACCCCAACATAAACTTAGACATGAACGGTGAACTTGGGACAAGCTTTATCTCCTAGTAATCCTTCAAGAGAACAATATGGGTATCCTATTCCCAGCAGCATACGCAGTTATATACATCCTGTGGCCCTATCCATAATAGAAGACTTGTGAATAATCATTAATAGACTGGGATTACAAACCAACGAGACAATTGAGATGAGTTATTTTTCTTTGAGCATCTTATATCTGCACAAATACCAGGCATCCTACATCTGATACACAAGCCTTGTTTGGATTGCTGTTTTCCGTTGAAAAATTACATCGTTTTCCATAATCACATTTCCCTATTACGTTTTTCCCTCATATACATCAAATCGCTACAGTAATTTTTCCATGAAAAATCATGAAAAATGCAATCCAAACACAAAAAAACAGGTTATTCTGCAAAGTTAAATAAACCCCCAATTTTCCTCACAGGATTAATGATTTTATGTACTACAAAAGAATAAGAGTTACATGCTAGCTTGAAGGAAAATGCTAAAGGAAAGGAAGATATTTATTTGCAGATATTCTTCTGTGGTGAATTACAAGCCTAATTAGACAGACCATGATGACTCTGCAATACATCTTGACCCTTGACAGATGAACTCATGCCTAAATGCCAAAAGCTCATGTCATATATAGTCAAAGCTGCAATAGTAGAACAATCATATTGCTTGAGACGCCAGATAGTTTCTTGAAGTAAACTCTAGAATAAAGGGTATAGCATTAAAAAAAAAAATAAATGAATAGACATAACCAAATAAAATAAGAAGACACCACTCACAAAATAAGCCACAGACTTGATCATTGCATAATCTGTGATTGAATAAAAATTGAATCTTTAACAATGTTCCAGTACAATAATAGAGGAAAAACAACATATGTAATGGGCTGCAAAACCAAGCATACACAAATGAAAATGTTAACATATGGACACAAATAAGCTCATTCAAACATGATAAAGTAAATAGAATGAGAACCCAGATAAATTAATCCTCTAATCTTGTCATCAATCTTAAGAGTAACCAAGATATACAGACACAAAGAGGAAATATCCGGGCGGAATGAAAGGGTGAAGACAAGTACCTATTATTTGAAGCCATCAAAGTCTGAGAGCTAAAAACAGGAATTGGGACAAGGATTCTTGTTCTGGTCCTTCTGGACTTGGAGAGGTGGAGAGAGAAGAGGGCAGATTTTGTTCAGAAGTACTACTAGACAGGACTACTATTAGACAGAATCTTGCAGAAGTACAGTGTCTGCAGGCAGTGAATTGATGGATGTGATATGTATATACATGGAAAGAACTTCAAAAAGGAGCGGTAAACTCGTCATGATTGTCAATTAATGCTACCCTAAACATCAAGATCCATTTAAATGGATCCTACTAATATACCTAAATTACACATAAGTAATATGTAACGATCGCACTTGTTAAGAAAAGCTTACAACCTCTGTTGATTATAAGAATACAAAAAAACGTATAAATGCAAGATGACCAATTATGGAAAGTGTATAAATTTACAGAAAATTAATAATTATTAGTTTATATATATACACGTTAGGTTGTAAGAAATATATGTATATTAGCGAATGTCCAATGACACATGGTATAAAATTTCAATATATAAATTTACATGTTTGCAATTTTTGGATTCTTTCCTAAATTAATTACACTTTTTCAGAAAATGACATCTAAGAGTTCTTTTAATGAGTGTCATTGGACATGTAGGCACCAATAGCCAAACCGAAAAATCAATAAGTTTTTAGATTAAATTAGGAGTAATAGGCCCAAAAAAGCAGAGCTTTTGCAATTATTTGTAAGCTTTATTTGTGAGCTTTTTTGCAAATTTAACAAGTTGTGTCAATATCATTTGGCCACACCTACATTTACACTATGCTTTGGCAACTAATGAATTCAACCTGAAAACAATAATGAAACACTATACCATATTGGTAGTGTGTGAGTAAGAGATAGATTGGACTATAGTCACATTTGGCTGCAAGCTACACTTCTGCATTTTCATTTCCAACCAATTCCCTAATTGGCACAAACTTCATAGTAGCACATGGGACAGTGACAAATTCTTTGGTGCTCATTACCGCTACTTGGGATGGCAACACATGGGCTGTAACCCAAAGCTGAAACTGAAGGCCCAATGCTATTTTGCTAGAATCCCAATAAAATAAATTCAGTTGCCTGTCGTGGCAGTGCAATGCACTGCATGGCCAACGTCTCAGCAGTTTTTTTTTAAAATTTTAATTTTTTGTAGAAATCAATGTCTCAGACTCTCAGCAGTGGAATCTGAGCTGAAAAGCCAGAATGTATTTTGTATTTGTCAATTACTACTACTCACCGTCTTCCTTCCTTTTACCATGCGCTCTTTCCTGTTTTCTCAAAGCTGATGAGCCATCTTTGAGGTACGCATTACTGATCGTATACTTTTTTTTTTGCAGTTAAGTCGGTGGTTAGATACTTAGATTAATCAAGTGATTATACATTGCTTTTTAGCTTGTCAAGTGTTTTTTTTTCAATCTATACTCTTTATATGGTATACATATGTCCTTGTTACCATAAAAGCTGCCCAAAAGAGAGAATTAATGCCTCTTAGTTGTGGAGAGTTGAAAGTTGAACGTTTTGTTTTGCTTTGGATTGAAACACTAAGTTCAAAAGGCTGTGCTGTTTGGAAACTTTGATGCTCTAGTGTCTTCTTTGGTACGTGTGGATACTTGAAAATATAAAAGAGTAATTTTAAGGAGTTAATGGAAAAAATTCTGCATTGATTAGTTTAACTAAATTGGGGAACATATAGGTAATTTTTCTCTTCGGTTGTGTATCAAATATTTGGAGAATGAGAACTTAGCAGTTCGAAGTTTCCATTTAAAGGAAAAGTGAACATTCTTTTAAAATGGACTATATTTGGTTTGAGACAGAGGGAGTATCCGCATTTGTGTTCACAGATTGCTACACTAGTTTTCTCTGTGTAGTAAAATATATGTATATCGTCCCCTATGAATCAGTGCTGCAGAGTATCAAACTTACTTATCAACAGACAGGTGACATCTTTTGATTTACTTTGCTCAAAAGTTAGAACTTTAAAGCAGAAGCAGACAATTGATAATCTTCGTAGTCCACCTAAAACTTCTTGATTCAACGTAAACCTGGGTGAATTTCTCTCTTACTAATCTGGAAATTTCGATTTGGGGTGACAATATGTGAGGATACAAGCATATTACAAATGTACAGGGTAATTCCCATGCTCTAATTCTAGATGCTAGATTCTCTGGAAAGTCTCAAGCTTTATATTTTCACATATCTGGTGAAATGACCAGTTGTACATTATGGATAAGTTCTTTCTAGGTCCTCTAAGCCTTCCAGAGTAACTAATGTGCTTTGATCTCAAACATAATATATCTTATAATTAAATTTTGCAGGCCCCAATGCTTATATCTGTTTAAGCTGAATAGTTCAGGGGAAGGTTTACTGCAGTCTGTGCAATGCACAAATGCAGTGAGATCTAGAGTAGAGAAGTTGCTTTAAGAAAGAGCCTCCTGTTGCGGTTGAACCGGGACTAGCTATGGATAATCTATCTACTGATCTGATACCAACGGCAGATCAGTATTTCCTCTTGAACTTTATCATAGGGATTTACTTTGCACCTGATCTCAAGGAAGAAAAAATCCGCAAGCCTGTATTACAAAGATATGTTGAAGGTCTTCCACCATACATTTCCAATCAATTGGCTGGTTCATTTATGAGTATGGTAGAAATGGAAAGGGTGTACTACTGTGTAGTAAGAAAGGCAAGTAGATCTGTCATCATGAAACCCCCAATGTTGCGCCTGTTCTTTCAAGGAAATCTTCCTGCCCCGGTTGAAGACCCCAGCTTGGCTTACCCACAATTTGATGATCTCTTCCCTCCTAAGTTGCATCCCCGTACACAAAGTGGAAACCAGTATGATATGGTTCAGAATATTGTTTTCATCAACGAGCCAGACATCTCATACATAAAGCCAGAGGATATTGACAGGTTTAAGAGGCTGACAGGACTAGAAGAGTTCCATCTGGACGGAGAGAGTTCAATGTTGCACAATTCTGTAGGGGGTGAGATGGTATATGATCTGGTAGGGCAAGAAGAAGATCAGTCTGAAGATTTTCTACACCGTGGTTCTGCGCAAAATTTTAGTGCTGTACCATATACTGGTACACCAACTGAACATAATATGCCATCTAATGGTACGCTACCTTTAGGCAATAACTTTGCTAATCCTCTAATGGATGGTGCCACAATTCCATCACCCACAAAAACTAGTTCTGCAGATGACTATGAGCCAAGAAAGATATTCCTTCCTTCTTTTCCATCAAGGGAGGTTTGGAGTAACATCATTGCAGCCACTAAGAATGGATTTTCTGTGACTGGGAGTGCAGCAAGGGGACAAGTAGGGCCTGTTATAGGACTCATAGATATCGGCGAGAGCGATGATTCGTACCTATTCCGAGTGTCACTTCCTGGAGTGAAGAGGGATGAAAGTAAGTTGTACAATTTACTGGAAAATCCCACGTTATGACTTGCTTGATATGTTCAACATTTTGTTTTTTTTTTTTTTTTGGTAATAAAAATGCATTAAAATAAAGTCAAGTCAACATTTTGTTTCAATGCAGACAACCATTCCATGGACTTTATACAGACACTACAAGACTTAATGTAGGATACATGCTAATATACAGATATCAAGGGGTAGTTATCTGTCATATCAGTATCCACCATCTGTTTTATATATGTTTGGCCTTGATTGCTTCCTTTAACAGCTGTGCTGGTTCTTTTCTTTATTTTCTTATCAGTCAAGGAGGTTAATTAATTTCTGTCTCAATACCATTTATTTGTTTATTTAGTTTTTTGGTAAGAAACTTTTCACTTTCACTATCTCATGGCTGCAGGAGAGTTCAGCTGTGAAGTGGAGAATGACGGTAAAGTGTTAATCAAAGGAGTTGCAACAACTGGTGAGAAAACAGTCCACAAATACTCTCAAGTGTTTGAGATGCAATCTCAGAATCTTTGTCCTTCAGGAAATTTCTCCATCTCCTTCAATCTCCCTGGTCCAGTTGACCCTCGTCAATTTTCTGGTAATTTTGGTACTGATGGGATCCTTGAGGGAATTGCAATGAAAGCTGGACAATGCTAACAATAGCACGAAAAAGCTCACTCATTGGCTTCACCATTTTCTATGAGTGTGCATCTCTGACATATCCTTGCCTTGTACATGTGACAGAAAATGTGACTTTTGGATATAAAAATTCCTGTTAATTGTTGCCCAGTTCGTTGCATAGTTTGTACTCAGGATGATATCATCCCTCACCTTTGTTCTTTTTTTGAAGAGAAATTTAGCAGAGTTTTGAGTTTGTTTAGGTTCTTGATTCTTTTGAGGTCTAATGGGTTGAATATGAAATAGCTGCTAATGCAAGCCAAATTGAGCTCTTTTCTTGTTCCAAGTCTTTTTTTTTATTGCGAATCCTCCATTTATTTTTCAGCTTGCATTGGCTGTTGTCAAAAATCAATCAAAAGACTCAAGTGACTCTTTGCTAGGCAATCACCACTTTGCATGGCGGACTGAATCTAAATTTCAAGCAGGAGGCTCTGCATTATTGATCTCACCTGTTTTTCAGCAGGTGGCAACTCTATGCTAGGGATTGCTAGCAGGCTTGATGGACTCGTATAGAACCTAGTGGGGAACCCCTTCGTCTAGTGACTAAATGGACTCAAGAAAAGGCCACATATTATCAAAGTTATTTGTCATTAGATGGTTGTTGTGCAGCCAATGGGGGTAGCGTCACATGGGATCCTCAGCGTCACTTCTATATTTATGTCAACTGTCTTGTTTATTTAATTTGTTATGTGCTGTTTATTTAAATTCCTTCACCATCACGTGATAAGTGGAATTGACACTGGATTTGGCATCGAGTAGTAGCATAGAGGATCCCAACTAACGTGGTATATATACTTGTAAATGCTATATAGTTCACAAGCTGCTCAGAGGTGAAGTCAATTTTGGAAATTTCACCTTCAGTGCTAAGGTTATACTATTAGGAAATTTTGACCTATATGCAAAGGTTACATGTTTCTAGCCATATCAATCATATTATTCTCTACTTAGTTCCTGTCTTATAACCCAATTCATAAATTTAATGAATTTAGATTTAAATATGTTTTGAAAACTAAAAATTGAACATCTGAATTAATTAAGTGACACTGAATTTTTTAGATAAAACTTGCTCCCAAAAATACGTAATAAACTATTCACTTATCACTGAATGTGGTGATATATACTCAAATGTATTTGATTCAATATTCAACAATTCAATAATTTAATAGATTCAGACTTTAAATTTCATATTTCATATTTCAATTGTCAGATTTCAGTTTTATCAAACGCATCCTTAGACAGTGATTAACTAATTTGCTGTATCCTACAAAGGATTTATGCTCTTAACTAATCACTAGTTACGTCTATAGCAATTAAAAGAAAGATACTAATACACTATTTCCTGAAAATGTATTCAATTACCCTCTTAGCTAGCCATAAGTTAAATATGTTGACATTAAGAGAAAGGTAATCACTGATAGCCGAACATCTGAATGCCTTCAATTTATGATTCATGAGTTCCATTAGGCCAAGAATGGAGAGGAGATTAACCAAACTAGTCAACTGAATTACATATTAGCTTTTCCAACCTGGTTTAAAATCTATTATGTTTTTTCTTTTTTGTGGTACTTCAATAAAAAAAAAATATATGTAACCTTTGCATGATATGATATTTCGTACAAAGCAAACTTATGTTTCTCTTCTTCTTCTTTTTTCAATTTTCTCTATCCTTTTTCTTTTCCTTAACATACGAATTAGTGAACTTTGAGTATTTATCATGCATGGTTGTTGGCAGTTGAACCATCTTCCTATTCTTTTTCGGTGTTTAATCAATGCCTTGGAATTTTTTCTTCTTTTTTGCAGTAGATTCTACGTAATCTGGTTGAATATTTACATCTACTGAGCATTCAGCTATTGTTCATTATTGATCCCAACTCAATCATAGTAACTTATAACTTTACAATTATATATGCGATACAAATATATATTTTTTTATTGATATAGTTATCACATTGCCTCTTATGCAAGGGTGTAATTAATTCATATCATAATTTTCCTACCATTGTACATCTCTTATTGAATCGTTGCATATAAAAATTTTTTTCCGAAATAAGTTTTTACCTTCTTGCCTAAGTTTAAAGATTTGTTAATTTATTATACTTTCTTCGTCGATTTCCAAAAGAAATACCGATGCATTTCTAAAACCCTTCCCCAACAATTTTCTTCCGATTCAAAGTTGGAATTCACAAGAAAGTTGAAATACTTTACTGTAGCAAGTAAGAAAAGGGAAAAAACTTTCTCATGAACTTGCAATGAGATAATTATGGTAACCGTGCAGCCAATGCAGTATATAGTGCTTAAAAATGCAATGTCTAACTTTGGAAATTTGGCCTACAATGCACAAAAGGTCATACCCATTTAGCAAACGTTTATATACCTATAGCCATGAATCATATTCTATACTTAGATAATAATTAACAAGTGTAGGTTTCAGGACATGATACTGTGTAAGTAATTAATTGTGTGAAGATGTGATTGCATCTCCATCATTAACTGTTCAGAACGATTGAGGCCTAAGTGTTGATATCTCAAATCCCTGAATGGCATATTAGCTTTTCCTAGCTGGTTTAAAAACTTTGCTCAAAGCAATTTTGTATGTCAAATTTTGACACGTGGCCCGAATGGTTGTCAGTAAAATCGTTCGGATCAGTTTTGTGTAAAATGCACAAGATGTAACTTTGCATGCATATGATGTAACTCACACTCAATAATGCGTAACTATAGAATAAAATTTTGCGAACCCCATAGTGTGAAAAACTATGTACAAGATGCAATCTGAATTTTACATTTTTTTTTTTTTTGCCAAATCTTGACCATAAACCTTTAGGAACGGTTGCATTCTGCAACCGTTCTTATCCCTCCTCCGTGAAATTTTGACCTAGGGTGAATGGATTACACTCTTTTAGACATTTATGCGGTTTTTTGTCTTAGGAAATGAGTCTACATGTCAAGACACAATGCAAATGAAAATAATTACGTTAGACTCTTCAAATGTTGTAAAGATGCAAGGATCGATGTGAATCATTGCAGCCAACTATTCAAGAAAATTGAAACCTCAACCATTGAGACCTCAGATCCGTTTCAAAATTCTTATGAACTCTATTAAGTTTTTACTGTTTATAAAGGAGATTTCCCCTAATTAGCTACCCCTACACGGTTGGTTGCCAAACAACTCAACAATTACAATAGCATCGGCAACTGTTGCATTTGGATTAGGCAAAAGAACTGAAAGTCATTATCTCGAATGCTTCATTGGCAACAATCTAATTATACACTGCTACTGTCCCATTCATTTCTCTTTCCCTCCTTAATCACTAGAAAAGATACTGCAATTAGAACTGAATTAACTCTTGTGGACAATTGGTCCTGGTCTAAAGCAAAACTTCACTAATTTCAAAAGGGATACCTTAAAGGGTGTAGGAAGTTCAAAATTTTTATATAAAAAAAAAAAAAAAAAATTCTGTCTACTTGAAAATTGTTATTCCCCCTCAACCCTGGAAGGAGAAGAGAAAGGGCAAGCTTTAATGAGGTATCTTAGAAAGGAATGCATATACGACCTCTACAACCGATTAGCAGTATACACCATGTTGTGCATGGAAAATGGAATATAGGCATTTGGTATAAGAAAAGAGTATATTTGGCAAGATCTGAAGTGTTCAAAAATCTTGTATGATTAAATTAGACTATTTCTTATTGAAGATAATCGATGCCTCAATGATGATTTCCTAGTATTACCAGGACACCAGATACAACTTTGGTATTACTGCAAAGGTAATTCCCGAACACCACAAGAAATGCAATTCCATCATAAGACGTTGTAGTAAACAGGCAAAAGAACATGCTTTCATCGGTAGCATCTACATAACCAGCTGCCTTGGGTGTTAAAACGGTACATTTAAAGTTTATATATGGTTATCACATACATAAAATATTTCACATCAGGATAGACGAGCATTATGGTATTTAAGTTCACATAAGAAAAAACAAATCCACAAGTTCTACATTACATCATCCACTTAATAAACTTAAAGATCCTAAGTTGCTGTTCTGACCACCCTCTGATCTTTCTTGTTTGACAAGTTTTTCCCCAATGATTGTGGTAAATCTGCATATCAAATCCAGGTCCTTTGGGGAACAACCAGGAGCCAAAATCTGCAAGAGAATACAGTATTGGAATGCTAGACTTTATATTCAGCTAGCAACATGTGTAATTAAGATGGAAACAAAGCTTTGAGTTGTAAGTAGACAAGCCATAATTAATTAAATATACAATCATCAGTCCATGATAGTTCTCTTTACCGACTAAGAATCGAAAGGTGATTGAGGCTGCTGTGGTGCGGGTGCCTCTGACCATAAGTGCGGAGCTACTTGGTCCGACTTAGCATGGATCTATCATAATAACCATATCCAGTGTAGATCTATAACTATACACTTATAATGTAATAATATTTGAGCATTATGACATTTATATGAACATAACATATATCTACATGAAGGTAAATGGAATATATTCACTTGGATATTCTTGCTGTGAAACTGTGTACCAGCAAATGTGACGCAGATCTCAATTTGAGAGAGGTAAGGAAAAATGATATAGAGAAAGGTATGAAAGGAAGATAACAAACAAGCCTTAAGAAGGTTTCTTTGCAGGGAATGCATACTCAACAATTTGCTAGCAACATATTTCTAATGAATTGAAAGCCAATAACTTTGTCATTAAAAACTGCAAAAAAAAAAAAGAACATCTCTTAAAGAGTTGAAAAAAAAACTTTGTATATGGAATTTGCACCTACACATGCATGGATTAGCAAGCTTTCATCAATATTTGCAGTTTGTTTGTCTTGGGAAATGAGTCCACATGTCAAGACACAGTGTCGATGAGTATATCTGAACAATGTAACATATATATGTTGTTTTGGAAAATATGTACTGCAAGTCTGCAACTTCAACATCAACAGTATGTATAAAGCATTGGCAGAGCCAAAACTTGACTTGGGCAGGGGGTAGGGGGACAAGACTAGTAAAGAAGGGATTTGGGGCACAAAAGGTTTGTCGGATTCCACAAAGTGTAATTCATTGTTTTCATGATGTGACTCACTTTTAACAGAAAATAACTATAGAACAAATTTTTTTGGGCTTCACACATGCATTGAAAATTATGTACATGCAGTGATCTGA